CTCTTCATTTTGTAAGCAGGCTATGTGCTTGCTTGTTTGCTTATTTATTTGTTAGTTTAAGAACTCCTTAAAAACTCCTAGTCTGACAGGGAGCCAGGCAAACAACACAACTTGGAACTATCTTCAAGAACTTTTCCAGCTCTACACAGATCACATTGCATATGTGATACAATATATATTACATACCTGTCCATAAAAGCCATAGCTGACAAAATAAAAACAGAGTGCTAGAAATAAGCAATCTCTGGATCATCTTTTTTTTGGAATGTCATCCAAATCTGTGAAATTTTGGACTACCCAAGCCAAGTTTAACCCCTCCTCCTGACATAATCACCCAGAAAATTCCCATTTTTATTGTTCACAGAAGACAGGGGAGTTTATCCTCACTTGATGGCCCATAATAAACAGGTGCACTGTGTTGGAAATCTTCAGAATTTCTAATTGGGGTTTTGGATGTCTCCGGGCAAGCATCCAGAAGATGTGTGATTGGAAACTATAGAATGATAGATTTAGAAAGTGCCATTCATCCGATTGACCAATCCCTTGCCAAGCACAGAATCCAGGTAAAAGCATCTCAGACTGATGGCTGCATAGACTGTGCTTGAACATATGCAAGGAAAGAGAGTCCACTACCTCCCTGGGAGTTGTGTCAAGGGAAGATAAACTGTATCCTCCTAAACTAAAATGGGACATCCAGAGAGCAAGCCCAAACCATACATGTTAAAGTTCCTTCAAATCTGTAATGTGTCCAACATAAAATGCTTGAACACCAACCTTTGAGTAGCCACTGGGTTGTACAATAAACATGAAAAACAGTTCTTGATGAATTGATCGAATGCGAGGCCACTGATTTGATAAAGCAGGATATCAGCAGGATATTACACCTTATGCCAAAGGTCTGGCAAGTTCTCAGTAATGCTCTTCAGTTGTTTAGATAACTGAGCTGTAAGTTTAGGCTCTCCTGAGATATTTTTCTGGGTCCTTTCCTATTCATTTTAGTCTTTTAGGTTACCCTGGCAACACAGAATAGTGTTTAGAGAGGCAGTAACAAAGGCTTTAATAAAACTCAAACTCCACTGCTGATTGGCCACAATTTAGATATATCATGCCCCCACCCCTTAAATTCCTCTCTTGATCCAAGAATACACCAAAATGTAGGATGGGAGTCCAAGAGAGTGCTGAAATAGAGAAATCAAATCATGTCTGTTCTGAACCTAAAATGGTAGCCAAGGAGACATCATCAGAAAGTGTAGGAAGCTCTGTAATTATACCAGCTTCCAAACTGCCAACATACTTTCAGAAGAAGAAAGATGTTTTGTTGTCAGTCAGAAGTAGGTAAAAAAGCAGGGTGTCCCTTTTCCGTGACATTTATTAATGTTTAAAAGGGAAAAACTTAAAACCAGGGGGCAAACTGACCGATTCTGTTTGGCTTCTAGTCTTCTAGTATTACCCGTTGTAAGTAGTAAAGTAGTAAATTATCAGGCGATTTTAATGTCTGATACCAGATAATTAAAGCAAATGAGTTCAGCCTTTCGTTGTTCAAACTTTATTATAGGATTGCAACTCCAATGCATAATGTAACATTCATTTGCACGCATAATTGTTACAGCATGTTAATCCCCTAACCTACCTTGTATTTGGCAGAGAGTACTGGATGATTGCCTATGCAACAACTGTGCTAATGAAACTATTTTGTTCGTCCTGATGGCTAATTTATTGGAGATTTGTTTTTGTTTGGTGAATTATTTAAAGGGCAGCTTCTTTCCATACTGCTGCTGTTTCTCTCTTGCTTCATTCTGCATTTATAATTGATCACTGGGAGCCAAAGAGCATTCAAGCATTCCTCATTCATAAGGTGATGATACAACTTGATCCTGCTTAGCATTTTTTTTTTCCTCATTAGTTGGTTGCTCATAATTCTCAAAGGGAGCAAAGTAAGCAGGATCCAGCCAGTGAAAATCAGAGAATAGTAAAATCTAGAGTGTAGAATGCACATTGATTTCTGCATGCTGAAGGGTATCAGCACATGGTCTTCCTGCTATTTTAAATTTAAATTTAAACTTTATTTTAACATTTTTTTAAAACGTAAAGCTAGCATGCCACAGAATGAAGTGCTTAATACCCTGTGCCATATTTATTTCCAGGAATATCTCTAAAATCCACAGATGATGATGGCTGCAACCCTGTTTGGTTTTGAAATGTACCCAGGCTCCAAGGGGGGGGGGGGGAATGGGAAGGGGGGGCATGTTAGGGAGTGATTGGCAACAAAGATTAGGTATCCCTTCTTTAGTGCTACTCTTTTGCTCATGTCTGTGCAATTATTTTAATTTGAAAAATGGGAAGGTAGCATGAGAAAAAGCAGAGCCTCAGCCTCTTGCCTCATGGTTCCCCCCCTTACCCCAGGAATTCCTCGACAGCCGTGTTTCTCAACCTCAACTACATGGAGGTGTGTGTACTTTAATTGCCAGAATTTCCCAGCCAGCATGGGGAATTCTGGGAAGTGTAGTCCACACATCTTAATGTTGTTGAGGTTGAGAAACACTGCTCTAGACTAAAGCTGTAAGAGCTCACTTTTACGAATCTGGAAAACCATTAGAGTCAGATTGTTCTGATATCTCTTTGCTCCTATTGAGCGGTCATCTGAATTGTTTCAGCCCAGAACTAGAAGCCTACAGCTGCCCGCCAAATTAAAGTTGTAGTAGTTGAGGCAACTACTCTGGAACCTATGTATTTATTCTTTGTATACAAAGAATGAAATGTGAATGTTTTTCAGTTAAGCCTTTCAGTGAAGAAAAAGGAGCCCACTTTCCTGTTATGGTCACTATAATCATAGAACCATATTTCCATTGAGGTTTATTTTACAATGTAGGGGTGTAAGAGTAGGGCCTCTTTGAAAACATCAATATTCTGATACACCAGTAATTCTGAACAGTGTCATTCTACACAATATTGTTGTTTTTAGCTGAAGCTAAATCAGTTCATAACAACTTATTTTAAATGTTTTGTGATCATTCCCTCCTTTATGACATGCTTTCAGTTCTGTTCAAATACAGTATATATATGGGCTACAGGAAAGAGAAAAACCACTGAAATTGTTCCCTGGTGCAATATTTTTGTGCTTTGTGTCTCAGAAAGAGAAAATAGGATTTGAAAGTTGAGTAAATCTACAAGTGTTCCAATCTCAAATTTAGGATAAATGGGGTAAATAAAGAAATAAATATAAAAGGTAGCTTTTCATGGACAAGGGAGATTGCATGTTGGCACTGTGCCCATTTTTAATCAATTTTAGATATTTCAAATTACTATATTGTATACCTCAGTACTATAAACAAAAAACACAATAAATAAAAAAGCAGGCACATTTACCTCTTTTTATACGTCTGCAGTTGCATAAAAGATCTGGTCTGAACCAATAATATATTTACAATTTCAATTCTGCTGAGCATACCCCCACAGCACATTACCTACAGTACATGACTATCTCAATAGGCAGGTCAGCAAAGAACTGGTACTTAGTCGGTACTCAGAAAGGGAAAATAGGATTTGAAAATTGAGTGAGTCTACAAGTGTTCTGATCACAAAAATGGGATAAATGTGTGTGTGTGTGTGTGTGTGTGTGTATGTATGTGCGTGTGTGTGTGTGTGTGTGTGTGTGTGTATGTATG